TGTGTGTGTGTGTGTTTGTCGTGTGTGCTAAAGCATTTTATGTAATAGTACGTGTCATGTACTATATGGACTCCGACTGTACGTGTCGGCAGATCCTGAGTGAAAATCCAAGGCAGGGATAGCGTAACTGTGCAACTTGACCTTCTACGTTTCCAAACTTTCCAGTGATCTTTCTGGATGCTGCTTGCAGACTTCTAGGTAGTAATTGGCTTTCATTCGTTCCCATTTAGAAAGAAGATGTATGAGATGTCTATGGAAGGAAGCGAATCCGGGAGCCTTCTACTTTTGGTTACTGCGATTCTTCATTGTGAGTAGTCACTGAACATAAAAATAGATAACATTAATAAATAATAGATAATAATAGTAATAGTAATAGTGATAGTAATAGTAACAGATGGTCGAGGATACTAACGGCAAGAGACTGCCTTAGAATTAGTGGTGAAGTCCACTCTGAATGTCACTAACTAACGTGGCTATATTGCAGAATAACTGCTAGCTGGAGGAGGTTCGTGCTTTCTAGGACAATTTCAGCACGATCTTCGTAAGGGCTGCTTTTATTGGAGGCGCAGCGCTGCCGGGAGCGCTGCGCCCGACCGGACTACCCGGTGGATGTGGGACGCTCTTGCACGTAGGTATTGGCGGCGGGTACAACGGTGGGAGGACGACGGTTGAGGAGTGGCGCAGTGGTGGAAGATGGCGTGATGGAAAAGCACGCACTCATAGGCGTTTTTTTGTGGGGTGCCAACCTGCTGCGAATGGTGGGAAAGGGATTACGCAAAGTATATGAGGAGGGGAGGCGGCGCCGGCGAATCATCGGTCTTCTTCTCCAGTTGCGGTCCATATCAATGGCTGTCCTGACGGTTCACTCGAATTCTGCCCGCTCAATATATCGTCCGGAAGGTATTTCTACCTAAGTGAGCTATGGTTGTGAGGAGAAGGCGCGCGATAGGTGAAACCTCCTTCCCTCTTTCCCGGCTGTACGGTAAGCGGTTAGCTAGGGTGGTTCTTGAAGTCCCTGTGGCGACTCGCCAACAGGCTTGGCGAGGGGGTGTCACACTGTTTTTGATTCCCAGTAGGGATTGAAGATGGTCGTTCTTGTCTTTGGTGTTAGTTCTGCTTCGAGCCTGAGAAGCTAACAGTAGGAGGAGGGGAGTCCTTCCTTCCCCAAAGGCGTAGGGGCAGGGTTTGAAGGGTGGGGAGTAAGCGGTGGGGTGAGGAAGATGAGAAGGAGGTTGTTCTTGTTGATTTGGAATCTAACCCACGCGTGCCTTTGAAATCCATTAATGACCTCATAACCGAGCTTTTTAATTCTGTTGTTTTACCATTGATAATAATTTGGGAGTTTTGATTTATGATTCTCGAATGTTTGTTCTAGGTTGGTTGACTGGACGATTTCGTATTTTTTTCGTTTGATTTTCAACATGATAGGATTTCGTTTTTTTTTACATCTCCTGGTATCATTCACAGCGATTTTTTGTGCAATCCCTAGCCATGAGTATAATCCGTGCCATTTAGTAGCTTCCTTTAAACACTGATCTTATCTACGGTCTGGATTGTTTTCTAGATTTCTGATATTCGTAAGTCCAAAAATGGACATCTTAGATAGATTTCTGAAACCACTTTAAAAAACAAAAAGCTTAAACTCTAAAAGATGTTTCAGACAGATTTTGCAAATTCGTTTCTGATCTCCGATGCCTAAAAGTAGGTTTCTGAAGTATTTTTCAACAAAAAAAAAACCTACGTCTGCTGATCTCAACCTCCTGGTCTTGAGTACCGTGCGGTAAAATTTGACTCGGTTGGCCTTTCCCGTTAATCAAAGCTTGCCCGGGTCAAAGATTGCTCGGGTCTGTTGTATACCGTGCGGTAAATTTTGATTCGGATTGGCTTTTTCTGTTTGCTAATCTCAACCTCCTGGTCTTGAGTGGTATAATTGTGGCTTGCTGTGTATATCTGTGGGGTCTTCCTTGAGGGTTGGAGCCTCCCCCCGTGAGGGTTTCACAAGGCGGGAGGTGTTATTCTTGGAGGGGGGAGGCGGTA